ACAAATGGGTTTATTAACACTGTCTTTCTTGCACAACTGGTGTGTTATCTGGATTGCTTCATTTCTTAATGCCTAGGAGCTATATCAAAACTATCGAATCTTAAAAAAAAAAAGATACCCAAAGTATTGCAATTAAATGTGAACTCCATATGGCCCTGACTCCTTGGTTAGGGCACTCAAAAGAGAAAACAGATAAACAACAAGCTATCATCTTCTGTCAGTCTTCCAACACTCATTGCTGTTGGCATGTATCAGAAGATTTCATGTAGCAATCTTCCCAGGCCACCTAGGAGGGCAGGAAAGACCTTGATGGCCAGTGGTTCAGAATGATTTGTGGGAAGAGCACTTACTTTGATATAGACTATTAGACAACAAATAGGATGCAGGGCATTCATATGCTAGTTTTTTTTTTCCATACTTGAGTCTAGTAAACTATGGGGCACTGAACATAACCAAATATATATTTTCTTAATGTTTACATTCCCCCATTATCCACAGTTAATCTATCTTTAATAAGTATATTATACTCCAAATATATATATGTCACATCCCTTCGGATAAGACAGACATTCAGGGAATTAAGAAGACTGATTGAAATAATCAAAAATTCAATGGAAAGGAAATTGGTGTGTCTCTATGAGCTTTCTTTCTGTAGGAGTCAGTTGAACAAAGGAAATATTGTACTTCCTCAAAGAGAAGCAGAGATATGAAGTGTAATTATGCAGATTATTAGGGCTCCCACCCTCCACAACAAAAAAAGGAAATTCAGTTTTGTTGAAATTGGACATAGATTTGACCTAATCCTTTCCTTGAACGTGAACAGGGAAACTTGGCCAAAGACATCAGGTGAGCATCATCATACCTCCGGGGCAAGTGTGGGCACTTAGGCAATTAACAGCTTCCTTTAAGTCACTGATACTCAGTAACCAAAGTAAGGAGAAGCAAGCAATCCCCAGCTACCAAAAGCTGAACTGGCTTCTCCCGAATTGCTTGCTTCTCCACGACAAACATTTTTTAAAGAAGTTCTTAATCACAACTGACTTTGTGATTATAATACATTTTCCTTCTTACAAAAATAACCAGTAAGACAGAACAGACAGCAATAAATAGTACTATTCTAAATATAGACAATATTCTAAATATAGACAGTGATCATCTATATTTAGAACTGATTGGAAATAGAATTATAAAATAATCCAGCCTACCTGAAAATAAGCTGGTTTATTTTATAAACTATAATATGGTTTTCATCATATGCATTTTTTTAATGCTCTCCAGCTTTTGAAAACAAATGATGACTTTTTTTTTTTTTTACTGGCTCAACCACTAATTTGAAGATGTTAACAGAACATCCCATAACAGAATGGAATACTGGGTTAAAAAGTACTACCTAAAAAAAAAAAGATAGCATGCTTCTTTAATTACTTTTTTAACCTTGCTTCCTTATTTTCTTCCAACAGGTTGTTCCCAATAACACAAATGGCGATTTACAATGTTTGGCTTGAGAATCATTTTGAGAAAATAAGAATTTAGGCATATTTTATATACATTTTAAAAACCTTCTATATACCATTCACGTACATAAACGTTTACAGACGAATTCCAAATGTATCAGCTACAGGGCAGGGGAAGTTGTGAATATTCTCAATGGCTAACGGCCTGACGCCAAGCTCAAATCCCCTGTTCTCGCTGAAATCAGCTTCTGTATCCCCTACAGTGTCTTCAGAGTTTCAGAAAAAGAAACTGAATTACGCTAAAGTCCGTGGGACCACTGACTTATGAAAGAATAAAAGGAAAAACAAAAGAAGCAAAGGGATGTGGTCCCTTCGGACAAACATGCATACACTCGTGTGAATACCTAATAGTAATATTTATTAGGAGGAAATCCCTAATTCCAAAGCAGCTCGTGTAAACAGGCTATATTTATAAATTCGGCCGAGTCGGCAGTGCCTGGTCCCATGAGTCGGGTGCAGCGTCCTCACCTCTTCTCGGCTGTGAGCTCCCCACACGGGCTCAGCTTTCCCAAGGCCCGAAAGTCAAGTTCATGCTCAGAAATTTAGTGATGCGGCACAAAGCCCACTTAAAATGAGGACCGTTTTGAAATACATATATCTCATGCTGTTTGTATCCCAGAAAAGATTTCTTTATGGAAAGAAATAAACCTGTTCTGAAACGCTTAGATTCCCAGACGCCGTTCGTCAAGGGTTTCCAACTATTAGGACTCAACACCCGTCTACCGTCAGCCTCAGTCCCTCGGCCACACCTGCGCCAGGGAAGCGCCGGGTTCAGGTTGAACTTGGGACTCCGAAATGCGGAGATGACATCTTTTTAACCCGTGTCCCCGGGGGCCGAGCACCAAAGAGCGAGGGAAAGGGACCGGGTGCATGGAGGGAACGGTCCACCTGTGTTTCCCGGCGGCGGGGAGGGTGGGGCGGCAGGGTCCCAGGAGCCTCCGTGGAGCCCGCGGTAGAAGCGCCACCAGGTCGCTCCCGGAAGGCTCTTCTTACCTGTCGGACTGGCGGGCGCGGCGGCGCAGGCCGGCGGGCCAGGTGGCGAGGCGAGCAGCGGGCGAGCGGCCTCAGGAGCGGCGAAGCAGCGCACGCGGCAGCCCGCGTCCCGGGACTGCGCCCTGACGCTCCGCGCGTGGCTCCCGCAGCCCCGCCCCGCTCGGGCCCGCCCCCGACGGCGCGGTGGGGGCGGCCCCCGGCGGGCGGGGGGCCTCCGCAAGCCCGCTGGCGCTGCCCCGCCTGTTCTGGGCAGCGCATCCTTTCCTGCCCGCGCCCGGCTGGCCGGCTGCTGGACAGGAAACCCGGCAGGAAACGGGCAGCCGGCCGGGGGCCCCGGGTAGGGGACGCGGACCCCCAACCACACACACCCACAGTCGGGACCTGGGTTTAAGGGCGAGCAGGCGCAGCCCAATTACTTATCTCCCCACCCCTTGCCATTGTCTTCTGGGGGACCACGGAAGTCAGTCACAGAAGTAGCCAAACTGGTGGGCTGTAAACTTGGTTTCCCAAAGGTCATTGGAGAGTTTCAAAAGAGAATAATTCATGTAAATTGCTGCTTCTTTTTTTTCCTCAGAAGCCAGAAGTGGTTATTTAATTTAAAATAACATTTTAAAAATTCTAATCTGTAAGTGTTAAAGTTGTGTTTTTAAAAGAATACTGGAGCATTGAGTTCTTCCACCTTAACTACTGCGCTTGTTTTTGAATACACGTATCAACGCGTGGCAACAGAAATCGGAGCACATTAGTGGCCCCTGGAGACCAGGTGATTGTAAAGAGGCACCAGGACACTTTTAGGGATGATAAATACATCTCCCATTCTACTGGTTGGGGAGTGAATTACATGGATTTATTATACCTTTGTCAAAACATCCAATTTAAGATCTGTGCTTTGCACTGTATGTAAATTTTACCTCAATTTTTAAAACTCTTCGAAATATATCATTTGCAGATCCTTGAATCTATCACTTAATCTTTTAAAAGACAGCACAATTATTCACTTATCAGAGCTATCAGAGATTGTCAGAGATACCAAATTTTGCAAAGTACCTATCATGTCAAATAATTAATGCAAGCAGTACTGACTAAATCTACCCAAAGTTTCAAAAAAGGCTTTAAGGTGTTGACTGAAAAAAAAAAAAAGCACAACATGAGAGTTGTGACTTAGTTTTAATGGGGCAAAATGAGGGCTATAGCCTGGGAGACTGTGGAACTGCTCTGAAGAGGTGGAGGGGAGGTCAGAATATCTGTGATTTGGGTGAAGAGGGATACATGCAGTCAAGCACACATTTTGGCACTGGGTTGCTGCTAGTCACAATTATCCAGCCCAGCATCCATTTGTCAACTCAAGTTAGAACGCCTTTTAAATATATGCCACAGGTGCTGCCATTTTTGGTTTAGAAAGCAAAAGCTCAATGGAGAGACTGGGCTTTGGAGTTAGATAAAGCTGAGATTAATTCCAGCCCTGCCTCTGCAACCTTGGGCAGATACTTAAGCCCTCCTTTCCTCCACTTACTGTAAATGTAATGGGTATATTGAAGCTTTGTAGTGATTGAGCGAAACATAAAGAAAGCAACTTGCTCAGCATTGATCTTTCAGACACATCCTCTCCCTAGAAACCTAAATCCAGGTGCAAATGGCTGCATCTGCATCTATGTGCTTGGTCATTTTTGAAATAAGAGCTTTATTGAGATTCTTGGTAGTTTTGCCTTAATTAGTATTCTTGCCAAACTATTGTTTACTGGACAGTTAAGTTTAACCCCTTCTAAAAGAGGGCAACATAGATGTGAAGGAATAAAAAAGCTTTCAAAAGAATAGCGGTATCATCTTGTCTGTTCTGAACGAAAACAAGCTCGCTGGCAAGATACCTTGAGTTCTTTCTGAGTCAGTGACTGGTCTAGTGGTCTTGTGCCAGTTGTGTAAAATGTATTCACTGTCTCAGTAACTGCCTTTATACAAGTGGAGAGATCTTTTCCCCCCTAGATAATACTCTGAGACAAGCTTTAACTGACTCATGATTGTCAGAACCAAAAGAAGAACACGAATGATCCAATTTTCACACTGTGATAGCAAGATTTTACATGTGTGGTAACCTGACTTTTCTGGAGTACTTCCCACGTCATAGATATGGCCCATGTCACGGAATTTGAATAAGATGGTGTATCTCAGGCAGGCTGAGCCCTGACAAGTCTGGGTAAGAAACCTCTTGAGAAGAGGGTAAAGGACACAGATTTAGGTTTCAGAGTCAACTCACGACACAAAATTCAAAAACCACTCAAAGTAGTTAATACTTAACTAGGAGTTTACCATGTACAATCACTGGCTTAGGCCAGTGGGAATTCAAAAGAAGTATTACGTGACAGTCCTTGAACTTAAAGGAACCCAATTTCTCTGTTTTCTTCTGACATCAGGATAACAATTAGAGGACAAGACAGTCAAGTATACGGCAGAGACAATAAGTCTTAATGGAGTTTAGAAATAGAGTTGTGTCCTAGAAACAAATTTTTCAGGAGCAGGTAGGATGGAGCAAAGTATGGTTTTGATTATTGGGGGTGGCGGTAGTAGGTGAATGGGAAGAAATAAAAAAAGAAAGTCTGGACAAAGCAGGGAGGGTATAGCTCAAGTGGTAGAGTGCATGCTTAGCATGCACGAGGTTCTGGGATCAATCCCCAGTACCTCCTGTAAGAATAAACAAATAAATAAACCTGATTACCTCCCCCCACCAAAAAAAAAAAAAAAAGAAGTTTGGACAGACAAGGAAGATGTGCCCCAGGAATAGGAAGGGGCAGACCTCACGTTGTTCCCTGACCCAATGCCTTCCACCTGATGATCTCTTGGTTCTTGTGAACCTAGTGTTCCAGCTCTCCCTCTTCCTCCTCAGAACTTCATGAAGGCTCCTTCTTCTGTCTTCCAAGAAGCCATCCCCTTAAAGGCAGGGGCTGAATCTTACTTCTTTTGGGGGGGGGAATTTTATTTATTTATTTATTTATCTATCTATTTTTAGAGGAGGTACTGGGGATTGAATCCAGGACCTGGTGCAAGCTAAGCACGCACCCTACCGCTTCAGCTATCCCCTCAGCACCCCCTGCACTTTACTCACTTCTGTATTCCCCTAGGGGCCCACAGTTCCTCACACAAAGTCAACAGGTATTCAAAAACTGTTTCTTTTTATTGAATTGAATGGGAGATAAAGTAAGGTAGAGAAGCCAATTTATAAACAGGCATACACATCGGAGTTCATTCATTCAGTAGGTATTTATTGAATGCTCACTGTGTGCCAGGCCTCATTCTAGGCTCTGAGGACACATCCATGAACAAAGCAGATAAAAACCTCTGTCCTTGAGAAAATTATACTCAAGATCTATCATAAGGGATGGGATCAGCAATAATTTACATAAATCCAACCATATCAATCAGCCGAAAAAACCCCACCACATTTAAATAGTATAATTGGTGCTATAAGTCTACTGTTGATATGTAATTTTTAATGATATATTTTACTTATATTCATACCCATGTATCACTCTACAGACATTCTAACTGTTAGATTATATAGAGAACTTTATTGGCAATTTAAGAGATTTTCAGGGATCATTTTGAGCATGCTCGAGTCCATCCTTAGGCACAGCCTTTAAAACCTAACCACCTTGTAAACTGTGACTGTACTGTACCAAAATGGAAACTCTGAGATTGCTGGGCAAGGGAGAATCGTTTTAATGTGGTTAAGTCCATGTCTGCTCAGTTTAGTCTGGTAACAGGGAACCAGAGATAGTACATTCACATAAATACACATGGTCAACAGTGGACTTCACATCAAGAATTTTAAAAAAAGTTTGTAAGCCATTTCCCATTCTTTTAAAACAACTAAAATAGTAAGAGCTTGAGGTCATAAATATTTATAATCAACTCTTGACTACAAAGTCTAAAAGAAAGAAATCTTAACATACTGGCTTATTCTGACTAAATGTTTATCATTTTCATATATTTTTCAAAGAGTAAAAAGAACACCAAATTGAGAAAAATCATTTCTAATTTTGCAATAATTCTACTCTATATACATTAACACCAATCATTTAACTCTGAAAACATTCTTTGCATGTACAATGTAAAAAAATTTTTGACAGTATGACTAGAAATTTTTCATTATCATAAAGCTACGAACATTTATGCTCCTAAGAGCAAAGTCAGAAAAGCAAAAATAATAATTATAACAGTGATAAGCACCAAGACGGAACTTTTTTGCACTTAGGGCCTGATTGGTTGTATTTAAACATAACCGCTACCAACAAAGGACCAAAGTGACATCTTATTTGGCAAAAACAAAACAAAATGGATTAAAAATATACATACAGAGGTCTGGAAACAGTGAAGAATGCCCACTTTAAAGCAATAAAAATCAATCATCCTTGTTTTTAAATTAATGTGATATTTGCAAAATATATCCATGTCCATGTTTCTTCTTCTTTAGTTCACTTTATACAATTCAGACGGCCCATCTTTGTTAATGTGCTGTCACACTAGTGTAAATAAACATGCTGAACTCCGGGAGTTTGCCGTATGGAATCCAAACCATCAGAGCCAGATCCAGTAGCTCAATCTTAGTTGCAACTCATTCCAACTGGTGAAACAGATTATCCTCCTAATTTTTGAAAACCTTAGCCAGATGAGATATTGTGTGTATGTGATATCGTGTGTGTGGGTGTGGGTGTGGGTGTGGGTGTGTGTGTACATGTACAAGTTTGCCAGAGCAGCGTGAGAGTGAGTGCATCCCAGAGAGAGGAGTGACATACAAACAACCGTACACAATGGCCCGAAAGACATGGGCAGCCAGACACTGAATTTCCCCCAAAACAAACCTGAGGCTGAGCGATGGGGGAATGAAGTGACAGGTTTAGAAAATGAAGCCTAAGGCAGGATGCCTCGGCCATAACATTCCCACGACACTGGAGGATGCGAAGCAGCGACAGGGATCAGGGATCGACTCTGGCTGCACTTGGATGGATTCCCTGGGTCTGCAGCTGAGGATCCCTGGAACTTCCCCAGAGGGCATTTGCAGTGGCCTCTGACAGTGGCTCTCCACCTCTTCAGTGAGAAAGTCTCAGGGATCCCAGAATCTGAGCCTGGGTATCCCGTCCTCCTGGTCTCAGCATAGATACCATCCCTTCTAGAGACTCGGCCAAAAACTATCACTGCCTTGCACTGCCACCTCAGCCTTAGCAGGGGGCTCTCCTTCTGTCCCTGTGGGATCCCTGAGTTTGAGGTAATGCCAACATGCCGTATGCTATGTAGCAGGAACGAACAAAGTCAGGTAGTCACTTTAAAACTCAAGCAATCAAAATTCCTATTAGTCAGTTTCTGTTATCTCAGTAATACCTTATAGTGAGAAAGTTTCTCCACACAGCTTATAATGTGTGGGGTAAAGGAAAAAAATATTGCTAGAATATGATACAAATATTTTAAAAAGTTCAGCGTTGAAACTCCCTCTTAAAGGGAAGGAAAAGAGACATATTATGTTTCCACCTTCTATTTTCCCATCCTTGGCTTTGAGGTAAAAGAGCACCAGGGTTCCTGTAAAGCTGGTTAAGGGTCCTCCAGGCTCCTGAACCCGCACAACAATCCTAGGGAAATCCTGAGCCGTCTGCTTCCCACGTGTGTAACTGTACCTCTGGGCATGTCTATACAGCTCGTTAATTCAGTTTCAAAATCTACAGCATTTTTAAAACAAAATGACATAGGTGCATTCCTTAAATGCCAGCCATGAAATCATCACTAAAAAAAAATAGGAAGAAAGAAACTTGTCAGATTATATATACATAAGTCAAATAAAATTCTCTCCTTTTTTAAGGTGTTTTATTTGGTCTGTTGAAGACATGTTTATGGCTGCTTCTAAAAGCCCTTAGGAAGAGTCTCAAATGACATTCTACAGTTTGATGTTTTGTTCCAGTGTTGTCAGGTTCTTAAACTACACTGTAGGTGTAAATTGTTTCACCAAAAAAAAAAAAAAAAAAAGAACACACCCCAAATGGGCCCATTAAACACAGAAAAAAAACTTCATTTATAATTAGTGAATTTTAGTCACACCAAAATAATGATCTAACCTGTCCAAATATGCACGTCCCCAGTGAACTGAATTCTCTTCTTTAAAAATTGGTCAGATCTGAAGATCAAGTTAAACCCTGAGGGTTGCTATATAGCTGTAACATGATTTCAAATTGATATTGGCATTCATTTTTCTATATTTTCCTATATTTATCCTAAAGAAGCTTCCTGGATCATAGTATTTAGGGAGAAATTAAATGGGTTTTATATCATTCTGGGAAATGCCAGTAAATTCTCAGTTTCTCAGGGTTTACTCCTAGATCAATGTCATTCAACCTCTACATGATGCAAGGATATGGACAAGAAGTATTTCAAATACAAAATTCTTAGCTCTGTGTCATAAATAAATTTGGGTAAAACCGCAAGCCTTCCACTGAATCGTCTCGGCAAAGATGGCCCATCTTCTCTGCAAGAAGCAACCTAGGAATCAAGGGGGAAAACCACCGTCATCCATCCATCCACTCAGAAACACAAACACTAGTTGAAGTGAAGAGCGAAGACCTTGCTCACCTTTCTTTAGCCAGGAGGACAGACATTCCCACGAGCTTAGCAAACTCTTCTGATGTTAGGGATCCCTTTTCTGAAACCTAACAAACACACAGCAGGAAAACGTGATTAAGTTAGGCCACCTAGGCAATAGCCTGGGAAGAGTACCTACCAGTAAACTCAGGAAATAACTGACAACTTTCTACTAAAATTCAAAGACTGCTCACTTTAGAACTAAATCTTTTTCACTAATGCTTAATTCTACAACAGTTAAAGGACCCAGAACAAATACAGGAGAGGCTAAAACCATCTCGAAGCACTACGTAATGTAAAAAGTCACTGTACTGAAGCCTGAAAAGAACTAACCTGTACTTGACAAGGAACATAAAACAAATTCTAATTGAGTGCATAGTACTTGCACCAGCAAAGGACCCTTATACATATGAATAGTTTTAAAATATGTGGTAGAAATATCCATAGCCATGGTGCTTTCATCTGGTTTAAAATAAAATGTGTAATAAATGTGAGTTATTCAAATTATACAGGCTCACCTCAGAGGCTCTGAGGCGATATTTCAGATATCCTAATGAGTATCATCAGCAGTTTGGCCAGTAAAATCCACCTAAACTAGAGTTGCTTTCCGTATTTTTTGAAGCAATTATTTCACAAAACAATGAATGGTGTTTTATAATGCAGCTTCTGTAGGTATCAGTGGGGAAAAAAAGTTCAACCACGGGTAACATTCTGATTTACAAAGTTAAGAACTTGTTCTCAAGACTGAGTTTCAAATGAAAAGAGAGCAAGCTCCTCACTAATTCCTACTCTCCTTACAAGGTATTACGGGCGTTGGCAAGTTTCAAAACGCTTTCAAAGCACAAGTGTGATTAATAGTTATTCATTGTTAATGACAAAGCGTTTTCAACTGGGTCTGTGAATGTTACTTTTCAGTAAAGTTAAATTCAAAAGGAAATCCTGTTTCTCAAGTTGCTAAGCACCGGGGTCTTCGCGTGGCAAGGTCTCAGGACGGGAGGAAGCGGGGTTCCCGTACCGTCTCCAAGGCTGAGGCCACCATTTCCTCCTCCTTGTGGGACTGCAGTTCAATGACCATGACGCCACTGTCAAACACTCGGAGCCTAAAAATCGCAGACAAAAGCTGTGAACATCTGGGATCTCCAGCCCCTGAGGAGGTGCAAGTATTTTTCACTTTCATTTAAGTCCAGGTATGAGGGGCAACATTAACACAAAACAACCTTCAAAATGTAACAACCACGGGTAACCACGCCATAACTAAAAAGCTCGTGAATAAACAAACAGTAAATAAAATTCTGAGCTACAGTTCACATGCTAAATGAGATATGCCTGGTACGATTTTTTAACCCGAGAATAAGGAAAACACAGTCCACAGCTGAATGATGTAATTCTGCTTCTCCAGAGACCAGGAGACGTGTCTAAGGGCATAGGGACTGGTCACTGTGACCTCAGGGGAGGAACCAACGTTCTTCAGGCCAAGTGACTTCTGCCCACATTAATATAACGGCAGGAGGGACAAGATGCTGGCTCACCACATGGGACAGCAGGCCTGGCAGGGCCTTCCTGCCCACTCAGTGCAGAACTGTAGCTACAACTGGCGAACTTCCTGCAGAAGCTCTTTTACCTGAGAGGTAACTTCAGTGCTGCCAGCATCTTGCATGCATTCACCAAATCTTCTGGTGAGAGCAACTAGTGGGGAAAAAAACCCAGTTTACACTGCAAATTAATACAGTATTGCTATATAATTATAGTGACCACTAAAATAGAAGAGGACGTTTAAAAATGATCATGTATCAAGGATTTTAGGTGGCTTAATCACTACAAGGTAAAAAGGCTTAACAAAGAAGCAGAGACGTCTCTTTATTAAAACAGAAATATAATAATTCAAGTCATGTATGTAATTTTAATGGTCTTATACACACATTAAAAAATAGAGACACAATACTGAAAATCAACTATATTTAAATTTTAAAAAGGTGAAAAAAGTAAAAAGAAACAAGTGAAATTTTAATACATATTTTTATTTAACCCAGTGGATCCAAAAATTCAACATATAATTGATATAAAAGTTATTAATGAGATAGTTAACACTTTATTCTGTACTAAATCTTCTAAATCCAGTGTGTAATTTACACTTACAGCACATCTCAATTTGGATTAAATTTCAAGTTCACAGTGGCCACATGTAGCTAGCTAGTGGCTACCCTCCCCGACCATGTGGCCTTGAAGAATCAGCCCAGTGTGGTGCTGACAGGCACAGGTGTGAGTCACACACAGTGGCTCCAGAGCCAGCCCAGCCTGGATCCGAAGCCCTGTCAAGCCAGGAGTGGCCATCGTCAAATTATTTAATCTTTCTAAGCCTCAATTTCTTCACCCCCTAGTCACCCCCTAGATGGGGACAGAATAAGAAGCTACCTTACTGAGCTGTTGGGAGGATAAATAAGGTAACATGTGCAGAGTGCCTGGTGGACAGTAGGTAGTCGCTGGTGGCAGTTAAGATGACTGCTCAAATAAAAACAGAGCAGAGGCTTAACTCGTGGGACCCGGGTGAGTGCTGCAGAGATGTGTGTGAGTTGTTCGTGTGGAGGTGACTGCTGACACCACAAAACGGTTTGGCTTCAGGGGCACAAGTGCACAGACAGACCCTTGGAGGCCATGGGCATCTGGACGTGAAGGGGCAGCGAGAGCTGACGTACAGCCACTGCTGATTCAGAGCCACAGGAGCGGGGCAGCTTTCGCTCCATATTATCCACAAGCAGTCTGTATCCAACCCGGCTCACTCAAAAGAGCTAACTGTCACAGACAGGGCATCGTGCACAACCTTATTCTTCACAATACAAACACAGGATATGAGAGCTCTGAGGTATCACTCCATCTAAATCCTTACTTTAAAGGTAAGAAACCTGAGTCCCAGAGAGGTTAAGGAAGGTACTCCAGGTCACTCAGCAAAATCAGGAACAGAATCTACCTCCTAGTATTCCCTTCACTGCACTATGCTGCTTCTCAAAATAGTTTTAATACCCACAGCCCTTCCTCAAATTGTATTCAATGTAGAGGAGTTTGCTTTATATCAAGAAAGTCTATATTTAGCTTAAAGAATCTCTAAATATTCTTACTTCCATTCCTCGAGCTCGGTTTACTAAACAGTACACTTCCGTGAGTGACATTATTCCCCCTCGTTCCTGTTAAAATATGAAATAAAAAGAAGTATTATGGTTAGTACAGGTTAGCACTTCTTGACAGAAATCAAAATCAGAGTGAAATCAGAAATCATACAATCTCTTATGGAGCTTTTGAAAATTATATTTACACACAGGGGAACCTATTCAGATACCATGAAGCACTTCAAATTCCATATTTAGACTTTAATGTCATTATTACTGTTTAACATTTACTTAAATGAAAAGAGGGGTTGTACACCATGTTTCAAAAAGTGTATGTAAATAGTTTAAGTTATTCCAGCTAATAAATGAAGTAATTATAGAATTAAATAAGAATATCACCATTTTGCAGCCCCTAATGAAGTAACAGATCCAGATAATGATTGTCAGTAGCTGCTAACATCATACACACAAAAAGACAATTAGATATTAGGCACCTCCTGATGGAAATGCACAACACCGTCTATGAAATACTGTTGTCAGAAAAAAACAAAGTTCTAGCTATAACTACCAGTTTATAGGGTAACACATTAACTTATAACTTAGCAAAATCTAGACTCTGAGACACTAAGATAAACTACTAGTTTCTCCACTAAATAAACTGTATAGCAGACAAAAGAGATGGGAGAAGGGAAAAACATATAGAATTAAAAAACACACTTGAAAGAGAAATCAAACAATTTCAATGTATCCTGGTTTGAAAAAATCAACTCGAAGAGGAAATGTAAACACTAACTAGATATTTGATAATATTGAAAAATTATTTTTAACTTTTTAGGTGTGAAATGGGATTATAATTTCATTTAAAGGCATCTTTATCATTATAATTACATATTGAAATATTTACATATAGCAATGTGATGTTTGGAATTTGCTTTAAAATAATTTTGCGAGGCAGCTGGTTTACAGATGAAGCTGGATGATGGGCACAAAGGAGCTCATTACACTCTTCTGTTTCATCATATGTTTGAAGTATTTCTTCATATGGGGGCTTAATAAAGTTTTGACTGCCTGAATAATGTCAGACTAGGAGATGAATCTGTATTATGAAATTATTACTAGTCCACTATATTAAGACTAGATATATGAAAATGTGTCTAAATATATTCAGATCATACATTTCCTTTTGAAAATAGGAGATAAGAAAAAGCTCCTATCAAACAGACTGAGATACTGAAATGGAAATTAAAAACAATTTAGAAGATTACTGATAAAGAACTCATTAATAGGTACACTGAATTAGTTTAATATTACTGAAAGGAAAAATACCATACTGGTTGAACAGTGACATCGCGGAAGGAGTTATGCTCTTGTTAAGATTTCTGATAACATGGAAATAATTTAACATAATTTAAAGAGACCATCTAGGTTTTGTTGTTACCTCTAACGGCGCCTGCAATATTCCGGCCAGCTGTTTGGCCAGCTGCATGTGGTACTGTGTGCCCGAGCCGTAGGTTTCCCTGGTAACCGGGTTAGCTATGCCCATGCTCAGCAAATAGGATTTAAACCTGATGGTCTACAACGAGAGAAGACAATGCACAAGAAGACTCTGCAGAACTGGACTCCATCCAGCATCTGAAATCCTTCATCATACATTTGGTCCTACTCCATCATCTCTGTATCTACCCATTTCTTCTGCTGTGTCTGGGCTGTGAACTACATACGAGTAGACTTCTAGTAGTTCCCTATCAAAATGCAATTATTATTCTTCCTTCTCCTGTCTTAATCTCATACTCCGTTTACCCCACAAGTTTGGTGGCAGAGGAGACTTAGGTAACAACTATTCTCTGTTTAATGCAACCAAGTGATACAACTGAAACGTAAAAAGGAAAATGGCTATGACCAGATTGTAGACAAAGAAACAGATATCAAACTTATGGGTATGTCTAAAATGCCACTCCTTACGCATTTCAATACCTCTGGTTTCTACACTCCAAGAAAGGGTATTAAAATATCCTTCAATCCTACTAGAACTAACGAAGTTTTTAAGGCTGATTTTTTCTTTAGCATGTTCATATATCCTCAAGTCCTAAAAGAAATCAAACACTACATTAAGAAAGGAAACCAACAAATCACCAAAATGTCATTGGATTATTTGTGTAATCTAGTTTCTAATGCCTTAAAAAAGCAATCCATTTACCTCATCTTCTGTGATATCACCTTGCTTGTCTTTAATCTTATTAGCAATTGATTTTGATAACTCCACCATTTCCTTAGCCTGTCAAGAGAACAGTAAAAGATCGAAAAGAAATAATGTCCCCAAAGCGTCTGCTAACAAAATATATTTTCAGAACTATATCATAATTGGTATCAATTTAATAGATGTAAATGATGCGTACCTTCACCATTAGTTTGCTGAGGTCTTCAAAGGCCTGAAATGAGAAATGAGTTTTTGTTGGAATCTGTCTCAAGAATTAAGATGTTTTAAAGTAAAAAAGCACTCTATTTTCTTCCCTATGATAAAAATTTATGAAATTTTCTTACAAACATCAACTTATTTATATGAATATTCATACAAGTAATAAATATACCTTATTCTAAGAATTCAGTTTAGCTAAGAAACCATAAATTTTCCAAAACCACAAAAAATAACTTTTCAAATTTTCAAAGAGAAAACAGTTATTGATTAAACAAAAGGCGACAAGAGTCATAGTTCAGAAAATATCATTCACTGTTCTTTGACACAAGTAAGAAAATTTGTCACTACTAATACAACATGTAAACCAACTATACTTTAATAAAAAAAATTTCTTACTGTTTTTTTTCCCAAAACCATTTCCAGGTAGGAGGTCAAAAATCAGAGGCATTGTAAAGCCTTCTGGACTGAAACAGCAACATGGTTTCTTTGGACCCAACGACTCTGGCTTTAACAGCAGGTGTGATTTAACTGAAGCCGTAAACCTCAGCCTCTGAATATCAAACAGATTCTACTAGTAGCTTTGACCAGAGTCAACATCACAGATGGAAAACATTCAAGTACCACCAAAACGTAGCTAAATAAAACCCGTCAACTGTTTTCTACAATGAATATCCACTTCAAAGTCCTCTTCAAACTTCATCAGACACATTTATAACTCATTTATTTCAAATTACCAAAAATATACTTCCAGCACAGAGTATCATCTGTCTAAGAGATGTGCACAGATGTTATGCTTTCAAACCAATTGAGCAACTTAACATTAACTGAAAACTCTTTCAATCCACACAGAACGGTGCTCAACAGGTTCTGACTGGCTGGTGCCCATCTGAACTACACGCAGGAAAGCATCCCCCATCTGCAAAAGGGTTTTGCTAAAAGAATAGAGTGTTGTGTACAATTCTTATGGCTGACTCGCTGGGCTACTACCAAAAACAAAGGGGAACGAATGTGCACACACCTAACAGGAATTTCCTCAGATAAACAAAAGGCTTAAACACTGGATTCTTATCAGTAGCAGCCAGCAGATGCAGGAAACCTTTTGTGGGAAACTCTGGGCACCAGCTTGAAATCAAGGCAATTTCAACATTTAAATGCAGGGCAAATCACACACCAACCTAGTT